TCATTTGAGGGTCTGCCTCTTGCTTTTGGCTCAGGTCATGATCTCGCGGTTTCACGGGTTTGAGTCCCCTCATCAGGCTCTGTGCTGCCAGCACAGGGGGATTCTCTCTCTTCCCCTCCGTCTGCCCCTCCCCCACTCATACTGTCTCTTTCTCAAAAAGTAAATACATTTAAAAATAAATATATATGATGATGTTATTATATGTTTAAATGATGTATGCTTGCATCACATGATATGTGAATTTCATTTAGACTAGTCAAGGGGGATATTATCAATCATTTGCTACAACACAGTGGCGTTGGGTCTGATAGGGTCTGATTAAGAATATGAGCGGGCATTCCCGGGTGCCCGAGTGTTTTCCCTATGGTCACAGGGAGACTGCCATAGTTGTTGGCATTGTCTGCAAACACCATGGTATCTAAAAAGGCCAGACTGATTTAATGTCCCAAAGATTTCCTTGAGACCAGACCAGATTTTCCATTGTGCAAGTCAGAAAATACTGTAACCAGTACTCAATCTATTTTTTTTCAATATATGAAATTTATTGTCAAATTGGTTTCCATACAACACCCAGTGCTCATCCCAAAAGGTGCCCTCCTCAATACCCATCACCCACCCTCTCCTCCCTCCCACCTCCCATCAACCCTCAGTTTGTTCTCAGTTTTTAAGAGTCTCTTATGCTTTGGCTGTCTCCCACTCTAACCTCTTTTTTTTTTTTTCCTTCCCCTCCCCCATGGGTTTCTGTTAAGTTTATCAAGATCTACATAAGAGTGAAAACATATGGTATCTGTCTTTCTCTGTAAGGCTTATTTCACTTAGCATCACACTCTCCAGTTCCATCCACGTTGCTACAAAGGGCTATATTTCGTTCTTTCTCATTGCCATGTAGTACTCCATTGTAACCAGTACTCAATCTAAATAAACACAGAAATGTACTGCTTCATCAGTGATCTAGGGAAAGTAGTAAATGGAAGATTTAATCTCAATCATTGGCCTATTCCTCCTTTCCTAAAAGGGGATGGAGAACCTAATTCAAAAGAGTATGGAAGCCATGCAGTTGCTGTCCAGGCAATTGCCTGTTTCCCAGGAAAAAAAAAAAAAAAACAAGTTTTTTCCCCCCATGACATATATTTGCTATTGTTGGTTGAAATACATTTTGTTGAATAATTCAACCTGCTTTATCTTCTCTTGTGAACAGTTTTTTCCTAAGGATTTTAATTTTATGGTTTAGTGGACATTTCCACTAACTAACAGCAATTTGTGGTAATAGTCTACTTTCTTTACGTGAAAATATTGGGGAGCTGCAATGTAAAGAAATTAGCACTTTGGAGCTGGCTAGTGAGGATTGTACCTCAAACAAGCTTCATAAGCAGAAATGCCTATAGGGGCCAGGTGGTAACTGAATGAGAGAATTGGGCCCAGGGGAGGAGACTGTGGCCAGGTGGAAAGCACGCATTTATTAATGGATGACAGCCACCATTCAGCTGTAATCAATAGTCGCCATGTTGGAACTAGGCCTAGAGTTGCCAGATCATTTGAGTTTTCAAGAAGAAAAAATAAAATGGCTGATTTATTTGTGCAATTCCTGACTTTTAGATATTGGCCATGTCGAAAAAGAAACCCAAAAAATAAACAAAAACATATACCTATGTGAGCCAAACAGAACCATTTGTGGGAGATATTTATTCTGTGCACTACCATTTTCAATTTTTAAACTATCCCATCTGTTTAAACTATGGAGTGCAGCAGTTGGTGAATAGCACCTCTTACCAGTGTTTGTGCTATGGAGCGAGTGGGTGTAATTCTCCACGGAAATAGTCGTACACCTAACTGAATGGACTTGAACTTCACCCCACTAATTTGTCACTTGTGGTAGGGTGTGAACTTACTGTTTCATAACAAGTCCTTAATAGATTTCAGGTTGGTCCTCCATTGCTAACCATGGGGAAGTTAGGATAGAAGATTAGAAAAATTCAGAGGTTGGACCCAGGAAGCTTGAGGAAAGTATCCTGTGCACCTGCAGCATCCCTCCCGTGGTCCATTGCTAAATTCTTTCATTCTTTGTGATCCAAGTACACCTCCTTTAAATAGCAGATCCCCTATTCCTGCTTCCTCAGCATCTATGATTATTTTAATAGGGCTGTTATTTCCTCTGCCATACCCCTCCAAGTGTATGGCTAAACTATAAACTTTTCCTACGACCACCAAACCTCAGCTTTGATACACATTTTATTACTGTAATCAGATGCCAAAATGCTAACCTCCCAAATAAATTCCTCTGAAACTATGAAAATAATAGAAAGGTACATAAGCCTAAGTTCTCTTTGGTATGCAGGTAATTTTACTTTGCATTGGTTCTTGGTCAAAAATGATTGCTTACCACTGCTTCAGAAAATCTCTCTTTAAATCATTTTATTTATTTATTTATTTATTTATTTATTTATTTATTTATTTATTTAGAGAGAAAGAGCGTGAGCAGGGGAGGGGCAGAGAGGGGGAGAGAGAGAATCCCAAACAGGCTCCACACTGACTGCACAGAGCCTAACGTGGGGCTTGATCCCAGAAACTATGAGATCATGACCTGAGCTGAAATCAAGAGTCGGACGCTTAACTGACTGAGCCACCCAGATGCCCCAAAAGTCTGTCTTTGTAAATACTAAAATTAAAAATCAGTAAACTGTACTGGAGTGTTTCAAGTTAGTCTATGCAAAAAGGATCTTCTATTAAAATATCATCTGCCCTATAACGTCAGTCCCTTTAGATTCAACTAGGAGCTTATAACTACAAAACTTAAATAATGTGGACTCCACCAACTTAGGAGTTATAATAGTTCAGGAATAGTTGGGTAAAATTTGTTGCCTGAATAATCTCTGAGGGACAAGTGTACTCAACAAAGTCCCATATAAATCAGGACATCTGTTTGGCCCAATTAAAAATGAAAATCAACAACTATGTGGTGCCTGGGTGGTGCAGTCGGTTTAGCATCTGCCTTTGGCTCAGGTCTTGATCTCAAGGTTTCTTGAATCTGAGCCCCACCTCTGGCTGTCTGCTTCAGAGAGCCCTCTCTCTGTCCCCCTCGCTCCGCGGCCCCCCCCCCCAACTCATGCTCTCCCTCTGTCTCTCAAATATAAATTAATAAAAACTTAAAAACATTTGAAAGCCAACAACTATTTTCAATAGCAAACTGACACAGAAAACAATGAATCACTGAATGCAAATAATTCTTAGATAGACAAGATAATCTCTGAATTTGTATGAAAAAAATACATAGCACTAAGTAGTACTTGGCAGTGTGACTTTTGTGACCTTGGCCAAACCACTAAAACATATTTGAACCTTCTCTCCTCACTCATGGGGGTATTACCTCATTATAAATGTTGTTAGGAGGATTAAATGAACAGATTGTGTGTAATTATTATCATTGGTTTAGTGACCTCTTCAAGGTCTGGACTCTAGATATTCAAATTTCTAGTTCATTGTTTTTTTTTTTTAACTGTTCTAGTTTATTTTGGTTGAGGGATTCAGAATAATAAAGAAAGGAATTGGAACCTAAGGACAAGTGATTTTTTTTGTTTAAAGATGTTCATAAAACATTTTATGGTATCTTTTTGTCAGCATCATTAAGTTTGTGTTTCTCTTCACAAACTCATTCATAAAAGCATAAAAAGTGGGAAGACTCTAGGAACAGGGAAAATTCATGTAACCATTGAATCTCACTTTACACATTTTAGAGCTGAAATGTTATTGGTTGATGAATGTTTACCTCTGTGAGTAAATGTCTCCCCACTCCATCCTTAGCAATTAATATCTGCAAATAGAGAACTATTTAAATCTAGAGGAGAGACACATTCCCTTGAACCTAACAACAGATAATGCAGAGTGCAATCACCTTCCTCTAGGATGGTCCTACAAACTGGTATTACATAGATATTGAATTATATACAGCAAAAAAGCTTTTAAAAAATTACATTTCTGGGAATATGGAGCTGCAGAATATTCTTAGTTTCATAGGTGATATGCTGACATGTTTATTAATTATATTGTAAACAAATTGAATTTTTCCTGGTGTTAAACATTCACATTCATTTAGAGACCCGAAGAAAAAAGCTAGAGAGAAAAAGATCACCCATGATTAATGCTGACCTGTCTAGACTTTAGAGTACCTCTTTAGTCTAGTCTGAAGTGTTTCTGATTGTCATACCCAAAAAAAGGAAAAAGGTTGTGATTTTAGAGACAAAGAATGAACAGGGTGTGGGCATTTTTTAAAACTTCCCCACCTCTCTCCAAGAAAAACTAAATTTTTCACCAAGAAAACTAAATTTTATTTGCTATTTAGTCCCTTTCTTTTCATGTGTGTTTTTTTTTTTAAAGTGTAACAACTCAAATTTATATTTGAGTTCAGTGGGATTGTTTGTGTTTCTTTTCCCAAAAAACCATGCAGTTTCTTTTATTTGCCAATTATGGTATGCTGTTACTAAGCCTATGAGAAGTCTCTCTGTGAAGTGCATTTTAATATTTAGATCAAACAGTGATTGGAATACATTAATGCCCAGTGGGTAAATGTGTCATTTGAAAGCAGCTGCTGAGCCTTCTCCCTGCTGCTCCAATTAACACTTACAGCACACTTTTGTCAGCAAGAGGCAGTGCATATGGATGAAACCACTTTAGTGCTCATTAATATGATAGGCACGAGAGCACAAAGGGTTAATCAATCTGCTCATTGCAAAACAATAGCTTTCTGGGAAGTTTCCCAAGCATGTGCTTTTGTGATCAAGGGTGCTAGGATTAGGGGGTGGGATTAGCAGGTAAGAAAAAGCCGGTTTAGTCTCCAGCTTTGGTTCAGTCCATTGACTAACGTGTTTCCCCGCCCCTCTCATCTCGTACACCGCCCCCCGCCCCTGATGATGGAGATGTTGGAGAGTGAAATTGTAGTGCCGGGACTCCTCGGGCTTCAGCTGAATCTCTTGTTGAACTTTGTTGTTTTGTTTTGAAGCTGTTTGAAGTCCAGAGCTTTGCAGTTTATTTTTTTTTTTCCTTTTAGTCTTTCGTTATTTTACTTTCTCTCTCTTTTCCTTTATTGTTTTTTTTTAATTGCACATTTGATAGTTTATTGAGCAAAGTAAGAAATCTTGTCAAGGTAAACCCATATCGCTGCTATTTTTTTTTCACCTCCCATGGCTAAAGTCTCGGCGTCGATGGTAGCACAGAAGCCGATGGAAGGGTAGCGCGTCCCCAATCCCCAGGTTTGGTGTTCGGCGTTCATGCGCCACCAGGTCCCGGAGCAGCTGGGCTGTTGCTCCTCTCTGGTGCTGGCTGAACCAGGCAGCACGGTGAGTGAGAGATGGACCGCTTCCTGGGTTTTGTCAAGCAGATAAGAAGATCTAGGAGAAGAAAGGGGAAAAAGTACCGACCAGAAGAGGATTACCACGAGGGCTATGAGGATGTCTATTATTACGCCTCAGAGCATTTTCGAAGTAAGCACTTCCCTCCACCCTCCGGTTCCTTCTAGCACGCTGGGCTAACAATAAACCTTGTATGGAGCTTTAATGTTACATGCAAAAGGTTTCCCAGATGGTGTTCTCTGTGAGCAGTCTGTAAGTACTGAAGTGCTACATTTTGCTTGATTTGTTGCAAGAACAGCTATCAGATAGCATCTAGACAGTATAACCCGTCCAGTACTATGCCTGGTTAATATTTTAGGTGCAATTAGTTGGTTATGTTATTGTTGTAACGAACCATTCAGAAAAGTATATCTTGCAAGCCAATGTGGTAGTTAGAATATGTTCTGTTGTAGTTGTTTTTAAATAACAGGTTTTTTTTTTTTTTCCTTTCCAAATAGAGAAGGCTAGCTTATTAGGAACAAATAATTGTTCATGTTCAACTTGATGTTGATTAATGTTCCTGATACAGACTTCTAGATAGTTATCTGTGATTAACCTGAGGTATTGCTTGTAGAAGGAAGTTCAAATTATTTTCTCTGATGCATGTTCATCATTTTATTATTAAATTAAGGGAACACTTATTTGCTGTCAACTAGAAGCAGTGATACCTTTAGAATCCACATTAAGACATTTGTAAATTAGCTTATAAATAGCAGAGCAGAGACCTAGGTCTTTCTTGTACTTATCAATCAGTGCTTTAAGTTCCTGGTGAGGTTTAGACTCATCCCCATAGATTTATAATGCCCAGAAATGCCTAAAGGTACAGAGAGAAAGCAGCTACATGCAGAAATCACTGGGTTTATGAAGTGCCCTAAATGTGGGAGACTGACAGTTACATATACTCTATACTGACAACAGTAAAAGTTATTTTTTTATCTTCTTGAATAAGGATCTTTCTAAACTCGTATTTCAGTTGTAATTCAGTTCTAATTCTTTCTGGCCTTTTGATGTCTAATCATGAATATATCCTACTTACAACCTCTGAGCGGTGACTAATAAATAATTTAGATTCTATTTCTGTGATATTGAAATGCATGAGAATTAGCGTTAATGCCAGATATTCTGTTGTCATTGATGAAAGTTGAAGGTTGAAGATTCGTGTGGTGGTAATAACATAATAATGAAAAATTTTAACTCTTTGACACTTGCTCAAATAAAATGGCTATGTTGCTTTTACAATCTCTGAGTTGTAGAGATGTTTCTCTTTTATAATGCTTTTACATTAATAATTTGTCCTAATGTGGTGACAGTATATGTTTACTAACCTAGTTTCCACAATATACTTAAAAAATTAACCGAGATTTGTGTGACATCAAAAAATACTATCTGCTTGCATGCACAATTCTGAAAACCTGGAGGTTGAAAAAAAAGAGAAGCTTAGGAACTTTCATTACACTGGTGTCCATTGTACAGATTTCTCACAAGCACTATGTGTTGAGTCAAATTCACACCTTCTCGGGTTTGTGCTCTATGTGCTTGTACAAATAGAATCAAATTCTCTCTCTCTGAAATATGCCTGCATCCTAATAGGTTTAGTAAGAATTTAGAAAACAAAATAAATACTTTAAAAGTTTACAAAATATGACTGTGCAGAGAAATATTTATGAAAGTGTCTAAGAAATATCCTCGAATTAGAGTTAGGAGAATGATATATAGCTATGGCATTAGTCTTTATACATCAAGCGCAGTAACTTAGAAGCCTGTCTTCACTTATCTGATTTGTGAAGGTCATGCTGAGGATACGATACTAAACATCAAAAGTCACTTGCTTTAGGTATATAACCGGCATGTTTTCCCCTCACTTTATCAGAAAACACCAATTTACTTTGTGGAGTTAGATGCATGTTGAGTCCTCCAACTTCCAACTGCTGCATAATAAACAGAATGTGTCTCAGTGGAGTCAGACACTTGGGATTTGACATTTCGTCAAATGTCAAAGTGCCAGGGCTTTTAAAGAAGACATGTCATATAATATAATGACCTCTCAGTGCACCTTTTGGCTTCGGTTTCAGGGCCTATTTGAATTGGGTAGGGAAGACATCCACTTATATTTTACGGCTATAGAAATGTATTGAAGAAGGGTGAGACAGATCCTTGAAAGTAATCCTCTCAAATGGGTAATATGGTTGGATTCAATTACATCTACAGTGTATCTATTTTAATTAGTCTCTGGCATAATTTGAAAGTGTGTGCCCTGTGTTTCCCTAGATAGCTTAGAAAAACTGTTTAGATTAAGGCTCAAAACTTGGTGGACTTTACGGAGGATATTCACATTTTAGTTAATGGTGCTATTGATAAACCAGAAGTGTCATTCTTATTTTTTTCTCCCTGTAGTTTTTTTTTTTTTCCTTGAAATAAACTTCATTCTCTGTCTTGTCAGTTTATTTAGTGGTTCAGATTACCACAAGGATTCTATGCATATGATAGTGAAAGATGGAGCTAGAAAAACCTTCCCAGAAAACTCTCCAGTAAGTCTGCTTTTCCCTTAATACATTCTCAAGTGCTCGCTGATATTTAACTTTATCCTGAACAATGTCTCTTCTGCTGTGGGCTTGGATTAGGATGTCCCCATCCTTTTCCTTCATCTTAACTACAACGCAGTTTATAATCTCATGAAATGTCAAAGCCTGAATCAAAATGTCATAGGGTCTGATGCTACGGAAGAGAAGTTGTTCTAAAAATGGATGATTTTTCTGCAACTCTATCAAAACTGAGTTTTAGCAATGATGACAGTAATGATAGACTGATTTTATGCCTTCCCTGATTTTATATGGACTTGATGTATGTCACGGTGCTTGGGATGACCGTATTTGATTTTTTTAATTCTGCTTTCATTACTCGTCTGTCTTTTCAGAATTCTAGACTTAGAGTTTAAATAAACTAGACAGATGCTTTGGGCAAATCACCAAACTTTCCTGGGTTGTTTCCTAAAATATAACAAGAGATATCTTTATTTCTTAGGATGTTTCAAGTTCTATAAGTATATGATCTTAAGCTTTATCTCTGAAATAATTTACATAAAGGTATTGGCTGAAGGATTTTAACTGCAATTTAAACCAAAAAAATTCACCTGAATATCCTGAGGGAATTTTTTTCCTGGAAGGAATTGTCAGTAGGGAGATTCCTATTACTTTAAGATAGTAATCTATCATTGAGCCTGAGGCAGTTTTGGAGAGTGTTTATACCTATGAAATTCTGAACATATTGGTAAATCCTAGACTTCATTTTTTACTTTATCTTATCTGCCAAGAAGCACCATTTGCTCTGAAAATCTCACATAGATGACTCATTTGGTATTTTTTCCTTAAGGGAAACTTGCATTGATTACAAAACTGATTCATAAACCTGAATGTAACAAAAAGTTAGAAAAGGATCCTGAAATTCAATTTTATTGTGTTTTGTGCTTGTATTTGTTTTTCACGAAATACTGTGTTATGGCAATTCCCCTTTAAAGGCTTTGGCATCTATTTTGATTAATCAGGCAATAAATAAACCCTCTGGCCCTATCAAATGTATATTTTTATTTAACCACACCAGATAATATTCAAGTGGTAAAACAGATAATGTACATCTTATAAGCATTCTCTTAACACTGTTCATCTTCATGATAGAAATCCTGACCTGCCGTGGGCCATGCAGGAGAGGGTTATTGAATTGCTTGAAAAGGAGAAATTTGTTTTGCTCTTACGTATATGAAAGTTATGAGTCACTTTCCCTTATGACCCTACCGCCTTTTGCACATGGGTAATGGCATTGAATTAGGCAAGGAGTTCCTCCATGGTAACCACTCTTCTCTGTTTTCATTCACTCTCCTAGGCAGGAGAAAAGCTATGCGGGGAAGCTGTTCAGGGAAGACATATTGATTCACTCAAGTTTCCTACTGAGGTCAGTTCAGAGAAACTAGAGAAAGGGGGGGGGGGGCGGGGCAACAAGAATATGGTTTAGATCTTTTGAGAAAAGGGCATCTGTATTTACAAACTTATTTATTTTATTTTATTTCATATTTTTTGCCCTATTCTAGTAGATATTTAGCAAAAATCATGACGTGGTTATGTAAAAATGTTGTTAGCCAAGTGACTTTATTAAACAATATGTGCATCTAAAATCCCTAGGTAGGCAATTCAGGCTTTCAAGTGCCTAGATGTTCAAACTGTATTTTAAGAGGGGTGCTTACTTTTTTAACTTCTTTAAAAAATGCCCTTCATGGTTCTTCTTGGAGAAAAAAATGTTGGTAGTGGGTGTTTGTAGTAGGAGAATTTTTAGGAATTAGTGTAGGTAGTTAGTACAGGTAATTTTTTCTCACTAGTTCCTTTGTTTAGATTTTTTTTAAATAAGTATGCCAGAGGATAGAGTGAGAATTTTTACAGGTACTTGAGAAAGATAGCTGATCCCTGCTGGCATTCCTATGGAAGCTGAACACATAATCAAAGGGGAAGTTGCCTTGCTCAGCCAAGGGAGGAGAGAGGAGCTGGGGAAGGGAAAGGGGAAGGAGAGAATGCAGCATATTTCATAGGTTATCCTTACCTTTCCAAAGTTTACAAACATAAAAGCCATTCATTTCTATGTTTAAAACAGTCATCATCAAGCTGACAGGTCTTGGATGTGAGATACTGATGATTCAAACCTTAGCTGTACTTAGTTTGACTCAAGAAATCCCCAATGAATTGGAAGAAACATCGATTATATAGAAACAGGGCAAACTTGCTTGTTTTATGACTCTACTGCTTATTTTTCTTTCCTAAGAATTGCTTTCCATCTCTAGTAGGGTTGTTTTGTTGAAAATTGATTGGCTACCATGCTCCATTTGTCTGGAGTCTTCTGTGTCATCAGCTTTATTATCTCAAGCTGTATTTTTTCCCACATGGAATAATTTGAAGGAATAAAAGTTGAAAGGGACTTTAGAATGCATTTTGTCCACCTTGAGTATTTTTTTAGATGAATAACTAGGATACAAACATGTTACATGATTTATGCCAGCCCCACTGATCCTTCAGAAGTAGGACTAGAAGGCCTACCTGTTGGTAAGGTCTGGT